CGGTTTCGGGGGAAATTCCGGGGCGGGTCCTGTCAAGTTTCCCATCTGGATATTGAACTTCACCACTTAAACCTTTAAATCCCGTTTGTAATATTTCTCTAAGCAACACAACTCCATGTTTGGAGAATGATTTAGTATAATTTTTACTCCTTGTCCTTTCAACTGCTTCTGCTAGAACCCAAGTTGCATCATATGCCCAAATTCCATAAGGACTTAACTCAGTTACCTCCTTATTGGAATACTCCATGTAAAATTTCCTCCTCAATCTTGAAGTAAGATTTTGGAGGCCGGTTGATGCTGGAATATGTGACTTCAAACCCAACACTCCTTCCATTGACTTAATCACATTAGAATCCATGGAATGCAAGAAATTCATGCTACTTGATGTCAAAATCCAAACGTACCCTTCACTCATCATTCCTAACTTTTTCGCATTTAAGAAAAGACGAGGCGCAAGTAAATGTGAAATATGGACGAGAAATACCTTAGTCTTCAATTCCATTAACTTACGGAGTTCTTCAATGATTTGTTCATTTGTTGAGGATGCAGCAATGGAACTTGTATGTGCAATACGCACATTTGTCTCTTGGAAGGAATTGACCACAGCTGGAATGATGTTTTTCCCATAATCTGTGTTCTCATCATATACAAGAGTAACATCCTTCCATTTGAAAATATCAAAAATGGCGCTGATTGCCATAGCTAGAGAAGTTTGATCCGGTATGATCCCAATACGGAAGCGGTATTTATTGTCGTTGAGAGGAGGAGGACTAGGTTCAGAGAGAGACATCACAGGGACTTTAGCTGCTTCTCCCAAATCTGCCAAAAGGTGTGCTTCCATACTTGTTTGTGCACCAATTATTGCTTCCACTTTGATGACATTCAAAAGATTAAGAGCTGTATTGGGTAACATGTAAACCACAACTTTAATAGATATGAATTGCAATCGCTTTTCCATATACGTTCTGATCTATTAAAACTTTAGATACATTAGTCATATATGATTAAGAATAATCCCTGAGGCACCAACTCTTGTTCAATTAACACTATGATCAGGCCTCTAAAAGCTGGTAAAGAAGAAAAATTTGGTGCAAGTTTGTAAATCAAGTGGCCGAGAGCATATACCTCTACATATAAGGCAATCTTAGTGTAACAATTTACTCGGCATTGCCTTATTTCTTGAAATAAATAAAGTTTGGAGCGGGCCTACATATATATAAATAAATAAGATACTTCCACATAAGCTAGCACACAAAAGTTCAGGAAAAATTTAATGACTAAAATTTATCAGACTATCGCTTTCCATGGAATTCTAATCTACCAAAAGAAACGTACTATATTGAATTAATTTGAACCACCAGAGTTGTTAAAGAAGAAATATTTGAACCAAAAAGTCCTACGGAAACAAGCCAATGTAACAAAAAATAAATAATAAATAAAATCCAATTAAGAAAGCAAAGTAGATATATATGAGACTTGTTATAAAGAATGGCTCACCGGCTGATAGAGCATGTAGAGGTTCTCCTTTGGAATCCCTGCTGTGGAGAACTACTCTTGTGCTGTAGTTTTTGTGCAGCTGGTAGAAATCAGCGACGGCGGTCGAAATGCAGCTCAGGACAATCCTCCCCTCCCTTGATTTCATATCAAGAATCACTCCCACATGAATCTCTTCCACAACAAGGGGACTATCGTAACGCATTTTTTCAATTTCAGCAGACAAACAATTGATAAGAACACAGAAGGTAAAAAGTGAGAGGACGGCATGTTTCTTCCCTGGATCAAAAAAATCCATATGTGTATGACCAGCTTAATATAATGTGCTGCTCCTTGGTTGGTTGGCAATGTCACCTCTGCATCGTCTTGCTTAATAAATATATGTGCTCAGAATACCCACGACGTAACTAAAGAAATGCAAGGAAGCAAGGTCAGAAGGTTGACCAAGCAAGTTTATGTAAATATAATATGACAAGGAGACCAAGTCATGACAGACTTTGCAAGCATGTTCAGCTGGCATCCATGCAAATGCAATGATTGATATCGAAAGTGAAATTTAGGGAAAACAGTAGAGCCAGCCTCCAAATTACCATATTCATCTCTGACCGAAACTGTATTGCCATATTTGTGAAGTCGAAGTTGTATAACTTGCGTTATTGTATTGAAACGCGTTTTGAAGCCAAATTTTTAATTATTGTTGTTTCCTTGGTAAAGTAGGACTACGGTTAAGTGTAGCCTAAACTACTTGTCAGCTTGTAATTAGTAGGTTATTTTGAGTGTTAGACACCTTTGGTTATGGCATTCAAAGAGACAAGCAAGAATTATGTAGTGAGGGTGTTATATATGGCCCTCACTATATAATGACTCAAGAGATGAGAGAGATCAATGAGCGGGCCCAGCCCACAAGTTGTGCGGACTGGGTGACGGCACATGGGCCCTCAAAATTAGGAGCCTCCTAAAATTTTTAAGCCTACTTATTTGAAAATAAAAAATAAAAAAACAAAAAAATAAAAAAGACCCTTAACTTATCCAGACTTCGTTCTTTAAAAAGAAAATGGGCCTTTGGATAAAAGAAAACAAAAAAATGAGCCCCTTTGTTTTCAATTGCCTAACCCAATCTGTGAACTGATTTTTTTTTTTTAATTGCCTTTTGTTTTTAACGTGTTTTGCTTTTATAAAGGTCTCTTCCTTATCATATAAAAATTTAAAATTTAAAATTTAAAAAAAAAACAAAAGTGTTCTTCATTAGTCTTTCGAACTTCCCTTTGCAATTCGACCGAAGATTTTGCTAAGTTAGATGTTGTATGCAAAACTTGGAATTTAAAAGCATGATTGCAAGAGCCTAGAAAAAAAAAAGGTGAATCCCTATTTATGGATTACAAGTTTTTTTTTTTTTTTTTTTTTACTTGTATACATAGGGGCATCAGCATCTCTCTTTGCACGGGACCTCCAAAATCAATAGGCTAGCCTTGTCACACACACACACACACGGAAATATAGATAGAAGAGAGAGGCTATAGAGATGGAGGAGGGAGGAGGGAGAAGAGAGTCACTGTTTCGTGCTTGTTTGGTGTCTAGGACTGCATTAGATTTGATAACTAACTGAATTTATGGTGTGTTTACTAATTAAGAATTGAATTCCACGTATGGAGAATTCCTACGTTTACTTCATATCAAGAAATTAAAAAGTAAGTGGGACCCACATAAAATTAGAATTGAATTCCTATTTTGGAAGAATTCAATTCTTGGGCGGGATGTGATATTTTAATTCCTGGAGAACTAACCCATTAGTAATTCTTTTTTTTTACCCAATATATCCTCATACAATTTTAAAATTTTCAACTTTGTCATCTACTTTAACCTAACCCAACGAGGACATTTTAGTCATTAGAACCACTCATATCCCAATTCTATATGATTTAATAAACAACTTCAATAGAAATCTGAAATCTAACTCCCCTCAATTCATATAATTTAGTAAACAACTTCAATAAGAATCTGAAATCTAATTATCCTCAATCCAAATCATCATCAATTCAATTCTTTCTAATCCAAATACAGATTAGTAAACATGCCATTAGAGTATTGTAGGAAATACGGTGAAATTTTTTTCAATTTGGGGAATGATTGAAAGGGATAAGTTATGGTTCAAAAATGTAAAAGAATAAGTTATAATGGGTTAAAATCCTACCATTTTATGATGATTAGATAGAATAAATTTTCTTCATAATTAATCTAAATACACTTGCTAAAAGTAAAATTAAATAGGATGATTTGTATTAGGACCTTCCGAATCCAAAATCTCCCTCCCAAATCTATCAATCTAGATGGGCTCCAAGAGGTTCGAACCCCCATGACAGTGTGTGTGTGTGAGAAACCCCCCTCCCTTTTGTAATTTAGACTCTTGTATTTAAAAATAAAAAAGCGACCTTATCCAATACTAAAAACATTTTTATAACTTAAGGTACAAGTATGTTACATGAAGATGACCTCATCAGATCACCACCAAATTAAGATACCACGTCGTAACTCTTATCAACAGCTCTCCTTACAAAATACACACTTGAGTATCCTAACCTAGAACCAGACTTCACTAATTCTGAAGTCATCAGTCATAAATGTTTTCTTTCCCACTTTCCTTCTCGTCTCCCATCCCGTTCTCTCCGCTCCACTACCTGCCTGGACTTGCTCCCTCTTGAACCATGCCTCTGACCTGACCCAAATCCACCAGGCTGTCCATCAAATGCTGAAACTGAGTCCGGATCTCCAACACTACCCGTGTCACCTGAGTCTTTGCTTCCATCCAGATTTTCTTCATAACCACTGCCACCATCATCCAGACGATCACGAGACTGTAAAATGGTAGGCTGGCCGGAAAATTGCCGGGACCCAGACAGAACCACAGTTGGCATGGTCCCCATGGAAGAGCTGGTAGTAGAAGTTTCAAGCTGCAAATTTCCAGAACTTGATCTCGTGCTACCTTCACTACCTGCTCTTCCATTTTCTCTTTCACGATACCTTTCCCGTGGCCGACTGCAAAATGAATATACCAAACTGAGTCTAAACCAAAAGTAATTGCAGCATATAATTATAGATGCAGCAAAACAAGTATGCCCAACAATAATCCATGATTCATATTTAATTTACATTTGTTGTGGCATGCCCCTGCACCCTTATATCCACTGAAAAATAAATATTTTAGTCTACACTATCTATCCATGAACAAAACTGCAGAATAATTAAGCAGTTCCCACAAATCACATAAAAGGATCACCTGCTGTAGGTAGAGGAAAAGTCACGTCGTGATGGTCGTACTCCTGCTTCAGCCTGTTCCAATTCACGCTGAAGCTCTCTCTGCCAAAGGAAAAGGTTCAAGATATTAGTATGCAAATCTTCTTCGCTGAAGTATTACACACAACATTTTTTTAACCCAGAAACAAGAGACTGCAGAAAATGCATCCTCTTAAAGGCCCATGACTTACAGATACAGTATTTCCACCTTTTCAGTTCCAATCAGGTTTCCAGAATGACAGTAAATAATAAACTTGAATGGTATGACTTTGTTCCCCCAGCAAGTTAATAAATTTGTCAAAGAATGATACTTTATCAGAGGACTTGGGATGGCAGAAAACTGGAATGACCAAATACTTTGCCAACAAAAAACAAAAAAGAGAAGATGAATTATCATTTCCTTCCAAGTGATGACTTCAAAATATCTACTTGATTCATTCTCGTGGGTGTCTATGCATGTATGATGTATGTATTCATACATCGATACATCTTACATGTATAGATACGTAGAGATGGGAGAGATGGAGGAATGCTAGCATTAATATAAAACTCTACATGTAGAG